TAATATCCAGAACCTACAAAAACTCAAACAAATTTACAAGAAAAAAACAACCCCATCAAAAAAGTGGGCAAAGGATATGAACAGACAGTTCTCAAGAAGACATTCATACAGCCAGACATATGAAAAAATGCTTCATCATCACTGGCCATCAGAGAAATGCAAATCAAAACCACAATGAGATCACATCTCACCAGTTAGAATGGCAATCATTTAAAAAGTCAGGAAACAACAGGTGCTGGAGAGGATGTGGAGAAATCATTAAAAAGTCAGGAAACAACAGGTGCTGGAGAGGATGTGGAGAAATAGGAACACTTTTACACTGTTGGTGGGATTGTAAACTAGTTCAACCATTATGGAAAACAGTATGGCGATTCCTCAAGGATCTAGAACTAGAAGTACCATATGACCCAGCCATCCCATTACTGGGTATATACCTAAAGGATTATAAATCATGCTGCTATAAAGACACATGCACACGTATGTTCATTGCAGAACTATTCACAATAGCAAAGACTTGGAATCAACCCAAATGTCCATCAGTGACAGACTGGATTAAGAAAATGTGGCACATATACACCATGGAATACTATGCAGCCAAAAAAAGGATGAGTTTGTGTCCTTTGTAGGGACATGGATGCAGCTGGAAACTATCATTCTCAGCAAACTATCACAAGAACAGAAAACCAAACACTGCATGTTCTCACTCATAGGTGGGAACTGAACAATGAGATCACTTGGACTCGAGAAGGGGAACATCACACACCAGGGCCTATTATGGGGAGGAGGGGGGGAGGGATTGCACTGGGAGTTATACCTGATATAAAGGACAAGTTGATGGGTGCTGACGAGTTGATGGGTGCAGCACACCAACATGGCACAAGTATACATATGTAACAAACCTGCACGTTGTGCACGTGTACTCTAGAACTTATAGTATAGTTAAAAAAACAAAAAAAAAGAATAATTTGTAATAAGGAGACATCAGCATTCCATCTCAGAAAAAAACTGAAAATATTAATGCGTACAAAGTCCTGAGAAGAAATGTTGAAGCACAGGAGGAAGGATCTCATGTATAGTTGGTTGTAATATGTTTACTGTTAAATTATTACCTTTATTTTTTAAATAATTTTGAAAAAGCAAAACATAATGAAATTAAGTGTTTTTGTGCTTATCTGGTACAACAGCATGTTGAGAAAATTGAAGAGCCCTGTAATCCTGAGGAGGTGGCCTAATCCAAGGAGAGAGAGGCTCCGGGTCCTATGGACACACACCATTTGCCTGCTTCTGCCCACCTAGGAGCTGCCCATTCAGGGACAGTGCATGCCTGAACTGAGCTGAAGTTTGGGTAAAGTCTTTCTCAACCAATGAAAGAAAATAATCCTGGGCTATTTGCTTGCCAGGAAGAAAAAACCTAGTGGCGGTGGCAGTCCCCAGTCCCAGGCCTGAGGAAGAAACCAGGCCAGTCAAGTGAGACTTCTTGCGCTCCTGTGTCCTCTGCACAGGTACTCACTCCCAGGTGCAGCTGGTGCAGTCTGGGCCTCAGATGAAGCAGCCTGGGGCTCAGTGAAGTTCTCCTGCAAGGCTTCTGGCTATACCTTCACTAGCTATGTTATGAACTGGGTGCGACAGGCCCCTGGACAAGGGCTTGAATAGATGGGATGGATCAACACCAACACTGGGAACCCATTGTATGCCCAGGGCTTCACAGGATGGTTTGTCTTCTCCGTGGACACCTCTGTCAGCACAGCATATCTGCAGATCAGCAGCCTAAAGGATGAGGACATGGCTGTGTATTGTTGTTTGAGAGAAACAGTGTGGCAACCCACATCCCAGGGGAGTCAGAAACCCTGAGAGAGGAGGCAGCTGTGCTGAACTGAGGCAGTGACAGGGAGAACAGGGCTGCAACCTTTGTTGACTTAGGGTTATAAACATACATACATATGGACCCAACACTGGAGCACCCAGCTATACCAAGCGAATATTATTAGAGCTAAACAGAGACCTAGACCCTAATACAATAATAGCTGAGACTTTAACACTGCACTCTCAGCATTAGACAGATTTTCCAGACAGAAAATTAACAATGAAATCTTAGACTAAATCTACATGACAGACCAAATGGACGTAATGGATATTGATGGAACATTTCACTCAATGCCTACAGAGTACCCAACCTTTTCCTAAGCACGTGGATCATTCCCAAGGATAGACCATCCACTAGACCACAAAACTCATCATTTTTTTAAATTGAAAATGTGTAAGTATAAGATAATACATTTCCAAATACTGGCTGATACATAAATAGCAAAAATAATACAGGATTTTCTTATTTAAGTCTCTGATAGTTTTGAACAAACATTTAATTTACTTCATTTTATATTTTATTTTAAGTTCAGGGGTATATGTGCAGGATGTGCAGTTTTTACATAAGTAAACGTGTGCCTTGGGGGTTTGTTGTACAGATTATTTCATCACCCCGGTATTAAGCCTAGTGTCCATTAGTTATTTTTCCTGGTCATCTCTCTCCTCCCACTCTCTGCCCTCTGTTAGGCCCAGTGTGCCTTGTTCCCCTCTCTGTTCCATGTGTTCCCATCATTTAGCTCCCACTTATAAGTGAGAAAATGCATTATTTGGTTTTCTGCACCAGCATTAGTTTGCTAAGTGTAATGGCCTCCAGCTCCATCCTTGCCCCTGCAAAGGACATGATCTCATTTGGTTTTATGGCTACGTATATTCCATAGTGTATACGTACCACATTTTATTGCTTTTTTGAATTTTTTAAAAATTTTTTGAGACACAGTCTCATTCTGTCACCAGGCTGGAGTGCAGTGGTGTGATCTTGGCACCAAGAAGAGGATCCTCCAGGGATCCTGGTCAAGTAGATAATTGATTTTTTAAATAAAATGTCTTTAATGAATGGAAACATGGTATATGCAATGTGGAAAATTACTTTATCTTTGTTGCATGCATCTCATGACATCCTACACTTACCAAATAAGTTATTATTTTATACAATCTGCATTTGATCCTGGGGTTAATGAACTTTTTAAATTGTATTTATTTAGATTTATGTTTTCCATCACAAAATTATGTGCTCAGACAAATTGTGTCATGTCTCAACCATTGCATATCAATAAAAATAGTTTTAGTTTTGTTAAACAGTGTCTTTTAAACTTATTTTATATCCACTCTCTAAATGCCTAGAATATCTTCTATACGTTTCCTTGACTATAGTTTTGGCTCTTACAGAATTTCAAATAAATCAAATTATACAGTGTCATTGAAATAACTTCATTGAAGAATGTGGGAAATGAAGTCGCTGACCTAAAGAACTTTGAAAATGAGGAAATTCTGTGAGTTTAAAGTGTAAAGAAATTGCACATAAACACTCTATTCTAGTAGATAAACATGTTTCCCACAAGGATACAGCTTTACATTTCTGATACTACTGTGCATGTGTCCTGAAATTGTGCAGCTAAGTAATCAAACGGCATATAGTGGGATGAGGATCCTCACTTTGCAGCGGGTGGTTATGGACAGTCAATAAAGGAGGGCTAGCAAGGTCCGTGTGGTAACACATTTGGGTGGAGAGGCCAGTGTTTTTTCATTTTGAATGCAATAAAGTTACAGAAGATTAGATGCATAAAAGTTTCAATGTGTCCACAAATATGGGTTCATAGAAACATGCCCATTTACTAGGTCAGTTTGTTGAAAGGTCCTAAGAGTACCTATGCCACATTAACAACACACATACCCAGTATTACAATATTTTGTTTTAATACTATTCTTTAACATCAGAAACAAGCAGTCTTTAGAAAAATGGCTGATTCTATGTCCGAAAAAAGGTAATATATAAAACGTCCTTAGAATGTATTGTAATGCCAGGACACAGGGAAGTATTCAAAAACAAAAGGATGAGGTGTGCTGTAAGGATGCAGGATCCAAAATAAATTGGCTCCCAGCACCTAATAAAATTGTGATGATTTGAACAATAAAATGAACACTGTAGCATGGATCTTCTTCAGAGAACGAAATAGACATCCATACACCAATACGGATATTAATAGATGACTAAATAGAGAAATAATGGGAAGAATAACACATATCTCTGCAGAAGCATTCCAAATATCTCAGGTGGAGAGTCCTCCAATCAAGTAGGTGAAGCTTAAACACTCATGAGTTGATTGTGTCCTGAGATTAGAGACATGGGAAAAAATAATCACTATTAGTATATTTTATAATGAGATTTCAGATATAATGCCAAAGACATTATCTATGGATGAATACTTTTTTATGTTTTTTAATCTAAATGTGTGCAAACACACACACACATACACATTTTTCTGCAATGACCACTGATAAGGGAGTAAAAGACAGCCACAGACTTGGAGAAAATAATTCCAAGTCACATATTTGTTAAATGAATTCTTTTAATTCGTTAAACGACTTTTATAGCCAATATGCAAGTAAACTTACAACTCATCAAAAGAAATGCAATTAAAAATTAACCAACTCTCAGGAGAGGCATCTCACCAAATATATATATATTAGGAACATGTGCACTTAAATAAAAATTAGATATCATTACTCACCTATTAGCGTGGTTAAAACACACAATCCTCATAATTATAAATGGCAATATGAATGTGGGAAACCAAGAACTATCATGCATTGATGATGGGAATTAAAAATCATACAAGCACAAAATGAGATTTTTTGGCATTTTTTAAATAGAGATAAAAGTAGACTTAAAATGTGAACTTGTGTTTGTGTTCTAGAATATTTACAACACTGATTCAGAAATTGATGTTTACAAAGATTTGTTCAGAGGAAGTTCTTTATCAGATTTGTTAATTTGATTCATTCTCAAATCCCTGAAATTCGCTTTCAAAATAAATGTTGTATGAACAATCTCCCAAATAATTAAAATTTTTCAAATACGCATTTATATTTTTCCTTCTCTTTAATGACTTAATGCCATTTTCTAAGAAAGTCTTCAGTCTAATAATCTTTGTCATCTCCTGCATGCCAGCACAGCTGCCTTCTCCCTCAGGGTTTCTGACACTCTCAGGATATGGGTTCTCACACTGTGTCTCTCGCACAGTAATACACAGCCATGTCCTTATATCTCAGGCTCCCTAGCTCCATGTAGGCTGTGTTCGTTGACACGTCCCTGGTCATGGTGACTCTGCCCTGGAACTTCTGCACATAGTTTGTGTTACCATTTCCAAGGTAGACCCATCCCATCCACTCAAGTCCTTGTCCAGGGGCCTGTCGCACCCACTGCATAAAGTAGTTGGTGAAGGTGTATCCGGAAGCCTTACAGGAGACCTTCACTGAGGCCCCAGACTTCTCCACCTCAGCCCCAGACTGCACCAGCTGGACCTGGGAATGGGCACCTGTGGGGAGGACACAGGAGTTGATAAAAGCCCCCTTGCCTGGACTCAATCCCCTCCTCATCACTGGGACTAGGGAACCCCTTACCCTAGTCCCACTGCTCCCACCAAGAAGCGGATCCTCCAAATCCAGTCCATGGTGAGGAGCTGTGCTGCCTGGGGCTTCTCTAGCTGAGGGATGTGGTTTCTGGGTGATGCTCTCAGGGCTGAGACATATCCATATTTACCTCAGTGGATCTCAGGTTATTTGCATATTCATGAGACAGAGCATTTCATAGCTCAAGACCGTGATTCAGGATAAGAAAGGAAAGGTAAATGACACATCAGCCTTACAAGAGTGGGATGCTGATGGTCCAAGCCCTAATCCTCCTTGAGGAAATGCAGACTGTGCTCCGTTTATAAACTTTTGGTGTTCAGACGTCCTTTCACTGAAGAGCAAACACCCAGAGGACATGCTCCTCACTGTGAACCCATATTTGATTAGTGTAGAGACCACCTGGATGATTTCTGGAACCATCACTCTCCATGACACTGAGAAGGTGCCTTGACCTCATCCTAGTCCCATCAGGCATTAGCACAGCTCACTGGTGACTCTGAGAAAGTGACTGCTGATGTCCCACGTGAGTGTCCATCAGGTCCCTCTGAGATCATCTGGGCGCCCCTGAAACAGTGTCTCCAGCACCTGCCTGGTGTTCTGATCCCCCAGGATCTTCAATAGAAACACTCTCGGTTTACAGATTTGCCCTGTGATGCATAAGTAGAGCTGATTTTCTCATCTCACAGAGAATAAGAATCAGAAGATGGAAGATAAGTTGGGAGTTCTTTATGAATTCACTACTCCCAAAATAATTGTCAAGAAATTTGTGTTTGGAATAAGTTTAGGTTTTATTTCCTACCACATTTAATAGAATGTCATGAAATGTGTATATACTTTCAATTCATATCCATAGATTCTCATCTTTACACATTGGTTTCTGACTCACTAGGTCTGTGCACCTGCACACTCTCAGATCCATCACTGCCCTGTCAAATGCACAATGTAGGCAACATTACTTAATGTTGAAATCTGAATTTTTTATTCATAGGAATAGAGTGACTCCCACAATTCTGTATCCATTCAATTAGTAAAAACCATCCCTACCGTTTATATCATCACTATTAAGATATTTATAGTCCTAGAAACTCACTTTAAAAAACAGTTATCGTTGCCTTAAATTATATGGATTGTTCCGATGTAACAATATTTAAAGGCATGTTAGCAACTTGTGGAACACCTAGTTTTCTGTTGACAAAGGAAGACACAGGCCCTGAAAGGAAACCTCCTCCCCATCCTCCTGTGCACCTACTCCGGGGTTGGAACCTGTGCTTGGTGGCTCCTGAGTGCCCCCTACAGCCCAGCCCTTGCCTTGGAGGGAAGTTTCTGTCGGGGTTCACACAACATTTCCCCTGAGAATCTCTAGTCCGGCATGAAGTGGCTGTGTCGTGGTTTAGAATACTCCTTCAGTGACACCATATGCTGCTGATTCCATCTCTTGAAAGAATTGATTAGCCTTACTAACCCTATTGAACTCTGCAGGGAGACCCAGAGCGAGGATTCTATGACACAGGAGGGAGCCCCTTCTCTGAAGTTTCAGATGCACTGAATCAGTGAATCCACAAAGAATCCAAAAACTTACAAGAGATTTGGGAGTGACATGTTCCTTGCAGCTGAATGTTGCATCTGAGATTACCAGCAGATGCAGATACTTTCAGATTAAAGCCCACTCCACACCCACTATTCCAATAACAGAGATTTTCCCTTCTTCCTAGTGCCTCGCCTGTAGAAAGTGCCTCCTATTCTGACACTAGGCCCAGGTATCTGGCATTTTTCTCCTAGAGATCTAAAGCAAACAGGATACAAGTGGAAACTTGGGAAGTGCATGCAGTTTGTTGTTTTCATTTTCTCGGTAAGAACCCTGCAAAGGCTTCCTGATAAAAGACACTGGGGTGAACGAGGGAGTTTCCAAGACCTTGCATTTAAAAATGTTGAAGTCAGAGGCTTCATATTGCTCTGCTGTTCTTGTCTAACTCTCCGTCATTGTGTTTCAGTTTCCCTGGTTCTCCTCAGAGTCTGTGCTTTGCCACACTTTACTCTTTAATCCAGAGCCATCATCCTGCTTGGAATGGATTGTGCAGTGCAAGCCAGCGCTGCCTGTTCTGACCATGGAAACCTAGAGACACAATCGGCTTCCGCCTCTGGGCTGTTACCTTGACCAGGCGTCTCCAGGGGAAAGGTTGAATTTTTACCTTTACTCCCTTTTGTGTTTTCAGTGTCCCTGGACTATTTGCTTACATCTTACCCCATTGAGTAACTTTACTCATTCATATAATCATGGAAGAATTGGGGAGGGATCTGGAATGAGAGATTTGTCTTCCTTCACAGAGGATAAGGTTCTGGAAAAGATTTTCCCTGTAGGATCTTTTGGAGAAGGCTCCTGGTATATTTTCCAGTAATTAAACTTCCCCAATTCAGACCCATAGGAAACACATTTGGATTGTATTTTTTAGAATATTGAGGTTTCTGGAGGGAAAATCCAGAAGACTGAGGAGCGTGGGGCCCTGTGGAACTGTCACTTCACCCTAGTCCACATCTGTCTTGCAGACGTCTATAGGACTTACCATGTAAGTGCCCTGAACAGCTTCTGGCTTCTCCACCTTCTGTTCCAGTTAAGCAAGTGTCAGATGCCACTCTTGACATGCCTGTCTCTCCAGTTTTTGTAGTGGGTAATTTTTCTTTCAACTTCAATTATTTAATAGATTCTAAAATGTATTGACATTCAGATTATGCAGATTTATTTTGACATAAAATATGACGGTGATGAATTTTATAATCAACATGTTGGAGCATAAATCAAAAGTACCATCAAAGGTCACCTTTGATATGTTTCTGGAGGCAGAATTCTGATCTTATTACATATACAAAACACATCTGACATAAACATGTAAAAAAACAAACAAACAAGGAATGACGTGACACAACACTTACCAAGAAGTCTCAGGAATTTTAATTTTCTTTTCAGAAAGCTGCAATTGTGAAAGTGAAACAGTGTGACTGGTCATGTGTCAGGTGATGTTGTGTTCCGGAAAGTATCTCCAATCCTGGGCTGGATCCAGTAGGTGCACCCGGGCTCCCAAACCTGAAACAGGGACTCTTATTCCTTAAACATAAAACATTCTAATGAGAAAGCTGCTGTCAGGTGAGCTGCAGAGCAGGAGGGAAGAGATGGAGGTGTTCTTGGCTTCCCAGAATTGCTGAAACTTGCAGAGATCCACCTATGAGTACATCACATCAGCTCTGTCTTCAGGACGCTTTGGCTGTGAGGGAGGAAAAGGAATGTCACTTATTTCTTTCTGCTCACCCAATGTGCTTCGGAGATGATGAAACTGAAAATTAAAGAAATATGATTTTTTCCATATTAGGGAAAATAACATGTATAATTCATGCAATACAAGCGCTCACTTCACAGATTGCAGAAGGAACGAGTGCATAATTGAGAGAAGGAAGTGCCCTGATCCAGGAAGCAGGTGCCCTAAGATCACCCCCTGAGAACTGCCCTCCAGATGCCGTGCATCTGTGGAACCTGGGCTTGTGCCTGGGAGGTTATAAGCAGTTTGGAGAGCAGAGCACAGCTCCATTCCTCCTCACTGTGTGACCTGGGATGTGGCCTCTTCCTCTGAGCTTCATTCTAACAAGGTGTTAATATAAAATTGCAGCAGTAACTTTACCTGTAACCTTCTAGGTAGGGGCCAGCGCATTTTGGAGTTGTTATCACTATTGCTGTCCCCACCCTTTGAAGCCAGAAAAATACCTGTGTGACCCCTCATCTCTGGCCTCAGATGACCACCTTGCAGAGAGCACACCTGCTTTGTTTCCATCACAAATATGGTATTGGATACTGGAAAATATGTGTACCTTGTTATACAATTTATCTTAATTAGGTTACGTTGGATAAAATTAGAATTAGTAAGTGACACTTAAAATTTAGTTGAGGAGATTTCTAAGCAAAGTGTGGATGGTGTGTTTTGAATTATCCTTGTTTACTATAATACAATGTGAGAGGAGATAGTAAATTAAAGAGGAAACTATTCAACAAGGTGGAATCAGGTATTTTATAAATAAGGAAGGTTCTCAAATCTGCTGGAAACACCATAAACATTTTTAAAAATGAAGGAACTTTAGGACATATTTATACATTCTAGATACATGATTAATATAAACTTAGATTTAAGCACAAAAGGAGATCCACAGAAGATGAAAATTCTGCAACAGATCATTTGCCAAATAGGCAGCTTTATACTGGTTTGCAATTTTACCTAAATATTGAAAAGATAAACTCCAGAGAGACCCAGATATGAAATTATAACATGTCAATGTTAGATGACTGGTTGAGAGGAGTTTGAACTGACATTATTTTGATGAATCACACATCAATAGTAAAACTGTGTCTAATGGTGCACCTGTTCAAGAGGCTGCCTGAGTAAATAGTTTCTACCTCCCCTGCTTAGGAGTCCTGGAACAACCTAACACTCTCTAAATCTGGGGCCCACTAAGAACAGAGACAGAAGGTTGAATATTATGAAGTTGTGATGAAGTTTGGAGAGATCCACAATTGCTGAGTGAAGTGATTGGTGAGGCTGGTCTCTATGAGCCTAGTCTTTGAAGAGTGTGGCTCTGTTTTGATGAGCAAAGAGCTGCTTGTTATGATGAACATAAAGCAACAAACACAGTCAAAGAAAATGAAGGAACAGGGAACATGGTCCAAAGAGAGGGACAAGATAACTTTCCAGAAACTGCAACGATGATTTAAAAAGCATATGGATTACCTGGCAGAATATTTAAATAAATATGAGAAACATGTTTAGTAAGCTAGTGGCAGCATGCAAGAACAATGTGAGAATTTTAACAGACAGAAAAAATTAAAAGAGGCCTAAACAAAAATATTGTTGTTGGAGAATACGATAAGTCAGCCAAAAATTTTAACAGCGCTCACTGTAGGAGAGGCTCAGGCTTTTCTTTCCCCTAGAGCAGTTAACCCTGAAATTCCCCTAGACATGAATCACTGTTTCCTCCCGTCAACCTTCTAGAATCTCCTCAGAGCTGCCCCGGACTCCAGAGTTCAGGTTCTCACATGTTGTGGGACTTTGGGTGAAAACACACCTGAAACACTGAGTGACTGTCGTCCTTGATCACTTCATCATCGTCTGCATTTTAGTTGATGTGATTTTTTTTTAACCTCATTTTGAAGAAAAGAAAATAAATCCATAGACTCTAACTAGGCCAGATATACTTCTCTCTCTTTCCCGTGCTACCTGTGAATGTAGCCCCAAATATGATAGGAATCACTAAACACTGCAGCTCTTACAACACTTTCTTGGTCAGCTGGTCCAACAGTGTGAGCACCACAGTAGCACAATTATTTGATGAGACTAATTCTGTATACCCACTGCAGACACATTTCTTCTTATGTACCAGGACCTCCAGTCCATCGCAGCCTATGATTACATTCTTCAAATTTCCATCATACATGTGGTAAGAGAAATTGATATTTCTGTGCATTGGTCTCCAGACCCAAGAGTTGTTGCTCCTCGCCACTCTCTGTTTGGGGGTATTTACGCATCCTGGAGAATAGAACTATCCCCAAAATGGGCCATCTTTAGAGATTAAATTTCCTACATAAAACAGTGGCACAAAATACTTAGTGTTTATCTCACATCAGACTGTGGAGACTTAAGTCAATGCTTCCATTGTTCTACTGGGGTCTTTGTTTCTGGGCAAGTGTGAAGGAGCAAGAACTGCTGGATCTCAGACTCGTGTTCCCGTGATCACATCTCCTATCCCTTAACTATAGCTACATTCCCTCGTGTCAGAACACATTATGCAGTGTCTCATTCTAGGAATAAGATATCCAGTAACTTGGACAGTGGCACTAGAAGCTTCTCTATGATTAAAAAGCAAGTGGATATAAAAGTTAATTCTTCTAAGTATAAATCACTACCTATCAGGTTTGGGCTTTAATTTTTTCAAATTGTCTCCATATGACTGGTGGGTATCCTTAGAGTGTGAATTTATTTTGTTAGACAAATGTGGTATCTATCGCTGTCAGTTCAGGCACTTGGTAAGACGTGCTGGTCAGTCTGGTTGGAGGTATCTGGGCTCAGTCTTCATTGCCCATGTCAGGGAAAGCTCTGGTATAAAGAGAGTGGACGCTGTCACTTATGTAGCAGGGTGGATTAAACTGCAGAAGATCATCATACTATGAGGTCTCCATACCCTATCACACAGCAGAGTGGATTTCCCTTGCTTTCAGCTGCCTGCTTACTTATATTAAATATTACTGCATGTACTTTTACTTTACATTGTTTTCTATTCTAAACTATTGCCTGCTTGTTTAATTAAAGTCAGCAACAGTAAAATTTAAAACTAACAGTAAATTACCTGTACAAGTAACATAAAGTGGGCGTGGTGAATAAGCCAAGTAGAGATACCAGAAAACAAAACTCATAAAGACACAGCTTGTGGGAGTTGAGAGTTGTCAGTGAGCACAGAAGGCATGAGGAGCTTGTGTTCACTTTTACATGAAGAAAGTCAATTATATTTGACACCTAGAAGGTTGGTCACACCCATGAGAGAAATATGTAGAGTGATCCACACAACTCAGAAATTAGAAAGTGATAGAGTCACAAACTTGCGAAACCAGCAGACATTCAGTGTATTCAGCATTCAGCTCTGTTTCTTCAGGGAAAGGGATGGGTTATATCTGCATGGAGAATGGGACAAGTAGTTTTCAGCTGATTCTCCTGGGAAGTTGCTAATGAAATCACTCAGGCGATGCTCTGACACAGGATTGTGAGGAGGACGTTCACCCCTGGTGGTCAGTCAGCAACATGGGATGCTCAACCCTGGTGGGTGCCTTTGTTACTGTTTTGTCCACAAGAGATTTTAGGCTGTAATGAGCTGCATGCAGGTGAGTTTTTAAATCTCAGGTGAAAAAAATAACATGACCGCACAGAAGATGAGAAAATTGAAGACTTCACTTCATCAACCACATTCCACTGATGAGAACTGTTTACACAGAGAGCCAGGGATGAGCTGGGAAGAGGAAGTGACTGGGGAAGATCACCCATAGAAGGACACATCCATCCTGCTTGAACTGCCTGTGGAAGGAGGGTTTCAATGTTTGCCCTCAGCTAATCGGGGGCATTTCAAGACCTTCACAAGCTTTCAGAAGAACAGTTTTCATGAACAAATGCCCATAGGTTACTCAGAGTTGTATTTTCTCATATTTATTCTTCCCCTCTATGCAGCACCGCAGCAGGGTGTTCTCAGAATTCTCCCTGATCCTTCTTGAGTTCCCGGTGCAGTTCCTGGAGGAAAAGCCTGCATGGGGGAGGAAGCCCTTCTCATGTGCAGCCCTGAGGCTGTCCCGTCACCTCACCCACCACTGCCTTTCAGTCACTTGGTAAACATTTCTGGTAAACATTTCTGAGCTAATCTTCCTGAAACGTGTGGTTTTGGGCAGTATATTCACCAGGTAATAAACTCCTTAAGCTCTGTTTATTTCAGCATGCACATATCCCTTTCTGGAGCCCAGGTTTGTTCTGAGCATGTGGTAGTGGATAATTACTGAAAGGATATTTGTGTGAATCTTGTCATCTCCCAGAGTGCCCTCCACGGGGTTGGCACCCACAAGCAAGCAGATGGACTTGCTCAGCTGGAGGATGACAAACATTTTCATAACCTATGACCTCAGTGGTGCTCTTTACCCGCAAGACCAATCATGATCATGCCTCTGGCAAATATGTACTCATCAAGGGTGAGCAGTGCCCACCTCTGTGAGGGCTTCTTTGGGTGCACAGTCCCTTTGAAAAGGGAAGCTTTTGTTCCTACCTGGGTGCTGTAAATGTGTTTGCATTTGCTGCACAAGCCACATTATTCAAACCCACCACCCAAGAGCTTGCAGTGTACCTAATCCAACTGTAGGGCATTATACATGGAGTCTCTCATTGCCAGGGTCTCCAATTCTCATTAAAGGATGCTAGATTTTCTGATTTTTGAAGAAAGACTTCAAATAGTAGTAGCCTCGCCCACTTTCCCTCTAACTAATATCAGTTCTAGAAAGCACTGAAAAAACCTGTGGTGCTCTGAAATACTTTACGTTTGTTATATTAGAGCATCACCAGAGAAAGAAAGAATCAAGTGTCCTTGGAGATTGATCCATTGTAACAGATTTTTGCCTGTGGGGCAGGATGGTCGTTGTGGAGGAGGCTGTGCCTGTGTAGGGCAAGGATTAGTGGGAATTCTCACACCTTCTGTTCAATTTCTTTGTAATCCTAAAACTGCTCTAAAATAAACTTTATGAGAAGGAGTGACAGAAACATTTGAAATAAATTTTTGCCACATTTTAAGAATCATTCTTAGCCTCACCACGTGATCAAATAACCTTGTTGCAAATCATATATTCATCCCATTTGAAAATTCATTCACAGTAGCACCTTCATGGAATGTTTGTATCAACTTTATTGAGTGTGGCCTTTTCCACTCTGTGAATTTGGCTCATATGATTATTCTTGAATGGAATATTTATCTTAAAATTAGAGGATGTACTTGCTTCTATTGTTCTTTTTTTCTCGAATGTATAACCTATTTTGTAAACAGCCTTAAACCTAATAACCCCTGTCATCTCCTCAGCCCCGCACAGCTGCCTTCTCCCTCAGGGTTTCTGACACTCTCAGGATGTGGGTTTTCACACTGTGCCTCTCGCACAGTAATACACGGCCGTGTCCTCAGATCTCAGGCTGCTCAGCTCCATGTAGGCTGTGTTTGTGGACGTGTCGGCGGTAATTGTGACTCTGCCCTGGAACTTCTGTGCGTAGTTTGTTATACCAACAAGAGGGATGATCACTCCCATCCACTCAAGCCCTTGTCCAGGGGCCTGTCGCACCCAGCTGATAGCATAGCTGCCCAAGGTGAATCCAGAAGCCTTGCAGGAGAGCTTCACTGAGGCCCCAGGCTTCTTCACCTCAGCCCCGGACTGCACCAGCTGGACCTGGGAGTGGGCACCTGTGGAGAGGACACAGGAGTGAACAAAACCCTCTTTAACTAAACCAGGATCCCTTCCTCAGCTTTGGTACTAGGAAGCCCCTTACTGGTAGCTGCTGCCACCACAAAGAGGAGTCTCCACGTCCAGTCCATGGTGATGAGCTGTGTTCCCAGGGACTTCTTTAGAGGAGGATGTGGTTGTTATGTGATGCTCTCAGGGTGCCAATATATCTATATTTGTCTCAGGAGACCTCAGGTTATTTGCGTATTCATGAGGCAGGGTATTTCACAGCTCAAAGCCTGAACCAGGATGAGAAAGAAAACACAGATGCCACATCAGCTGGATAAGAGTGAGGAGTGCTGTCCACAGAAAGCTTAGAAATGGGGCAGGGGATGCATTTCCTCGAGCAGGATTTAGGTCTTGGTCTCTCAGCATCCTGCCCCAACCCAGGATGTGCTCCTCACTGTGAACCCACATTTTGTTGACATAGAGATTACCTGGGTTGTTTCTGGGACCATCGTTGTCTCTGACATTGAGAAGTCACCTTGACTCTATTCTGGTCCCATTAGGAACAGTCAGAGCTCTCTGGTAACACGGAAAAGGTGACCACTAGTTATCCCACATGAGTGTCCAGCAGGGCCCATGGAGACTTCTGAGATCTGCTGGGTGTTCCCACGACAGACTCCCCAGCACTTTCCTGAGGATCCTGACCTCCCAGGTCCTTCAATGGAAAGACTCTTGGTGGACAGATTTGCCCTCTGATGTGTGATTGGCTGTGAGATTTCCCTCCCATTGACAGTAGGAATCAGGGGTTGAAATAGAAATAGGAATTTTAGTTTCTTGATGAACTCATAGTGCCCCAAAATAATTACCAAGTAATTTGTATTTTAAGTAAGTTTGTGTTTTATTTCAAACTCCATTAAATAGAATGATTTGACATGGTTTTAGATCATGTCCATAGATCATCATCTTTACATGTTGATTTCTGATCTGCTCGGTCTGTGCACCTACCACACCCTTCAATCCACCACTTCCAAGTCACAAACACAATGTAGGAAACATTACTTATCTCTGAAGTCTGAATAACTTTTTCATAGGGATGTAGTGTCTCCCCCAGTTATGTGCCCATTGAATTAAAAAAACCATCCATATCCTTCATATTCTCACTATTCAGATATTTATTATCCTATAATCCCACTGATAAATATAGTCCTCTTTGCTTTTTGAGTGATATAAGTGGTCTATATGAAATAGAATATTTAAATGATTATCAGCAACTCGTTGAACACTTAATTTAGAATGACTTGTTGAATAAGGAAGACTCAGGCCCTGGAAGAATATTTCCTTTTATTTATCTCCAACAAATAAGTGAGAACATATAATATCTGGTTTTCCATTCCTGAATTAGTTTGCTAAGAGTAATGACTGCCAGTTCCATCATATTCCTACAAAGGACATAATTTCATTCTTTTCTTAGCTGCATAGTATTCCATGTTTGTATGTAGCACACTTTTCTCTATCCATTCTCCCAGTGATGGGGATTTAGGTAATTCCATGTCTATGCTATTGTGAATAGTGCTGCAATGAACCTACATGTTTATATTCCTTTAGGTATCTGTCCAGTTGTAGGATTGTTGGGTCAAATGAAACTTCTGTTTTAGATTATTTGAGGCATCACCACACTGCTTTCCACAATGGTTGAACTAATGTATATTCCCACCAGAAGTGTATAAATTTCCCCTTTTTCCTGCAGTCTTAGAAGTCTGTTATTTTTTTTAAGATTAACCATTCTAACTGATGTGAGATTGTACCTCATTGTGGTTTTTTTTGATATGTATTTCTCTAATGATAGTGATATTCAGCATTTTTTCCTATGCTTGTTGGCCACATGTAGGTCTTTTTTGAAGTGTCTTTTCATGTCCCTTGGTCACTTTTTATTTCTTGAATATTTGTTAAAGTTCCATGTATATAGTGATGTTGGACCTTTGTCAGATGTATAGGTTGTAAATATTTTATTTCCCATTCTATAGGTTGCCTGTTTACTATCTTGATGGGATTTTTGCTATATAGAAGCTCTTTAATTGACTTAGGTCCCATTTGTCAATTTTCGATTTTGTTGCAAATGCTTCTAGCATTTTCATTATAAAGCATTTGTCAGTTCTTGTGTCCTAAATTGTATTTCCTATGTTATTATCCAGAGTTTTTATAGTTTTAGGTTTTACGTTGAGATCTTTAATCCACTTATAATATTTTTTCAATTGATGCTGAAAACGCATTTGATGAAACTCAACATCCTTTCATAAAAAAAAAAAAAACATAAAAAATGGGTATAGAAAGAACACATCTCGACATAATAAAAAGTTATGTTCCAGAGACTTTCAGGTAGTATTATAATGAATGAGAAATAACTAAAAGTCTTTTCTCTAAGATCTGGAACGTGACAAATTTCCCACTTTAACCACTGGTAAAGCGTAAACCCTTCTGCTGCCCCCATAGCCGGCTCTTACCTGCACGCGCCACCTACTGGCCTGGTGTTCAAACTGCATGACCTAATACAAAGCCGCTACCACCAGTGTACAGCAGGTGAAAATGAGATGAGCTTCTCAATACTTCTGTGATTCCAGCTCCGCAAAAGACCACGGGCCTGCTCACATGCCCAGTGTGTTACTACTAAAGCTGGAATTTGGAAAAGGCACAACACTAAAACTATTAATAAGAAAATAAATCACTCTGAGTAGTTGCCCCTCACCTGGCCATTTCCATCAAGGCTGGTGCTTTTGCTTGCCAGGCTCGGTGGCTCATGTATGTCCAGCTTGGTGCCCCTCTCAGCGGCTGAGCAGGGAACTCAGGTCACTGTGCATATGATAAACCAGCCCATTGCCTGGGGCAACAGAGAGTTTCTCCCTGTGCACAGATATCAAGCATGTACTCATCTGCTTCTCCCGCAGTCCGCTCAAATCTGTAAGGCCACCTACTAACATGAAAGGTGAACTTAACAACCCAACACAAATCTCAGAAACAAACGCATTCCAAATGAGAAACAGTTCCTGAGACCTCCACTATCTAGGACCTGCAGGAGGCAGTGAGTCTACTCACAGGTCCAGTACATTGGTACTAAAACCACCATTTCAGAAAGCCACTAAATAATGCCTATCTATAGGCAAGGAACTCTTACAGAGTCATTGCCACTGAGTGAACAAGAACCAAAATCCAAAGATCCACACAATGTACATTATATTCACATTCTAAAGGGAATGAAATATTCATCAAAATCAGAATGAATTCAAAAATAATAAGAAGAGACAGGTTAGCCAAAGAAAAGGAAACAGAGAAGCAATTCTGGAAGTATGAAAAAACAGAGTTACAAACACCCAAATGTTAAATTAACTCTCCAGCAATAGAATCTAAACAACATGACATATTAGAAATGTCTGATAAATAATTCAAAATGTTGATTTTAAAGAAGCTCAATTAAACCTTTTTATCTAGTGGCTCAGTAAGCACTGGCACTGAGACAAGCACTGTGAAGACAATCGCAGCCCATCCCCTGATGGACTGACCCCTGTTCCACAAGCCGTAATCACAGCTTTGATTGAACATTTGATATCAGGAACTTTCACCTGATGAGGGACCACTGACCATGGCCTGGCTCTGGCCGTTTACAGAGGCTGCACACTGAGTGCCTTTGTGTCTCTGCTTCTGCTATTTGCACGTAGGGCCTGTCTGTAATGAATTTAAATGCTCAGTCACCACTGGTAAGTGAACAGGGCTCATATGCTGCACGCGTGTTTGTTCAGTGTGCATGTGCCAGCACCACCTCCGTGAGCATCAGTAGCCCCTCCTGTAACCTGTGGATTATGTCTGTTTGGCCAACACGTTCAGCATAAAGCTTCTGCCCAACCCCTTCTTGGGAGTGTCAGTCTCTCATCTTTACCAAAACTATGCTTTCCAGCCTGTGGGATGGCTGTAACCCTTGATAAAAATACAGTCTCAGTTTCCTAATCTGTAGATGGTGGCATTTTTAAATGTTTAACACAACTGAAGATTAAATTCAGAACTTCATCTAATTACTAGACTACTTTTGTAAAGTATGACAAACTGTGGATGTCCTATAAGGATTTTTATCTACCCGATAAGGACCAGTGACATTTTGAAGCAAGAAGCTGACCTGAGACCTTCAGAATAAACTGATGACTGTAGATAATGAAAAGGCTCCCCCAGGACATTGATTCAGCACCCCTGCCTGTCTCATTCCTTCTTCTCTTTCTTTTTATTATATGCTTATCATGATTTAAAAAAATATATTTTCTTTAGGTCTGTTTGCTTTTCACACATACTAGACCCTTATCTCTCTTTTTCACTCATTTTCTTAAGCTGTTAGAGAGAATAAAGTGTCAACTCCCTTATCTGATGCCAGTGTGAAGTTTAAATCACACAAACTCCTTCTGAGTAGAAACGCCCCCACCCCACCCCCGACACCACCACCAAATCATTTTAAAGCCCTGATCCAGCCTCCTTTCCTGTTCCATTGAGGAAATTCCAGCTTGGAATGTCTTGAGAGGCCTGTGCTGCTCTCAGCAGACAATAACAGTGTTGGTAAATCTTTCCATGATCACCTGGGGTGTGAGTGTGGCACTGTCAGACTTGACATCCACACTAATCATTGGTGGGGTCTCTCTTCCTTGGCATGGGGGCACCTACAATTGGAACTGTGGGCTTGGAGCCCTGACAGTGACCACCACGCGGCCTTTCTTCTCTTGCACTGGATGTGAACTCCCTCTGCCCCAATGCCCGGCATGCACATTATCCTGCCTGCTGCCCACTGGCCCTTGAAGTTTTGTTAAGCTGGGCTGCAGTGTTGAGTTAAACACCGCACGTCTTCTAGATTTAGCTGACTAAATCCAGAAGCTTTGATAACTTACTGACATTGAGAAACAGGAGTTAAGTGACTGGGTGACTCTGCCTTTGGTGCATGTGAGAAAATTTTTCTCTTGTTATGATAAATATTTCTTCTTTACAGACTTCACAGGAAGAACAGGATAAGGAATCCAGAGAACTGCCCCTGAGGAAACTGTTTCATGGAGAGGAAGCCACAGGGCTGACAGGAAACCAGACCTTAACCCCCATCTGCACCTGCCCTGAGTCTGGCTCTTGTGCTCAGTGGGTTCTGAGCACCCCCAGGTGGTCGTGTTCCCCCTTCAGGGAGGCTTGTTTCTGGATTCACACTTACATTTTTTTTTCTAATTGTGTACCCAAAATGGAGACAGAGTAAACCGTGAATCCGTGCATCTCAGAGAACACAGGACAGCAGAATAATACGCTCTGTTCCCGCCCCCCCTCCACCCACATAGGTAAATCTTATTAAAACTGCTGAAAACCAAACGGAAATAGAAATACACGCAGGCAAGTGGAGGTGAGTAGAGGGTGGATTCCTTCCCAAAGAACAGAAAAGATGACGACAGCTTTCTTCTATTTAAACCTTACAAGCAACAGGAAAATTGATGGTATCTGCAAAGTGTTGGACGAAAAGTCAACTCATTATTTCATAACCCACGGATGTTCTCTACAAAGTGAAAAAAAATTAAGTTTCTCTTTGACAGCATGAGGGGCTCAATGAATCCATGTCCCCATGAGACCAGTGAAAATTATTTTGAAAGTTTTGAAAAATTACAGGGTTTGGAAAGGCTCTAACAGCATAAAGTATGTGAAGAAATATTTATTCAAGAAAATCTATAAAACTCAGTAAGTCCAGACATCGTATTTGATCTAAGATGCTCTTCCTTCCTTCCACATCCCAGCTCAGCATGACGTAAACTCCACTGCAGACAGATGCATCCAGGAAGACAGGACACCTTCTACTAGCTCCCACCAGAGCAAACTCTTCCCCAGGGGCCAGGACATTGGCCCTCTGACCCTGCCCACAGCACGTGACGCTGAGGCTCAGATCTGGACAAGAGCTACTGAGAGCCAGAGACTCACTTCTTCCACGGAGCCCCATTCATGGATGGAGGCTCTGCCCTGGGTCCAGTGCCGCTGGGAACATTGGGTCCCTGGTTTCTAGCTCTGTCTTATGGCAGAGGTTCTGCTCCACCATAACCAAAGTGTTGGGAAGGTGGGAAGCTTCTGCCCAACCCTCCACTTAGAGCCCATTTCCTATGCTGAGGAAGGGAAAAGCTCAACTATATCTCCACCTGCAGAAGCTTGGTTGTGCGTGCTGTCCCAGGGGAAAGGGAGTCCTGGAATTCAGTTATAACGTATGATCCTTAATTTGGTCCTAAACATCCTAACTTCAATAACAGCAGAATGTGGGAAAGTTCAAAGCCTGCCAGTGCTCTCAAAAACAGTGGAGGGTGTGGTGGAAGGCCCTTGGAAGGAGATGGGTGGATGCACGGGAGATGCAGACTAAACTACAGGGCTGCTGGCTTGCAGGAGAGAAGTGAGGAGTGGGAGAGCTGGGGGAAGTTCTCTTGTGGTTGGAAAATATGCCGGACACTGTTCAAATTGGCCTGTGTTTGTTTGGTTCAGACTGTGAAGCAATTCAAACCTCAGAGCATGATTGAAAATAGTAGGATTTTCCATCTGCAAGTGGCGGAGCTCAACATCTGGGCCCGGTCAGGAAACAGACAGAGAAAGCCCAGCCCAAACCACTGACACCTGAGGATGACGGTGGTGCTGACGGCTGTGTCCGTTTGATCTTTGAGACCGATTTCTCTCACTTAGCATCATGTCTGGAGTTCACCAATAATGGTTTATGTTTCGGTCACTTGTTAATTTTTTATTGCTGATGGTGTTCAATTGATAGATGCTTCCTAGTTTCTTCACCTATTCAAATTTTGAGACATTTATGTTATTTTTAGTTTCTGACACACACACCCCCACACACAATGTCTTGAATATTTTAATAGAAGTTGTGTGTGAATATAAGATTGTGTTTCTCTGAAGCAAATATTCAGGAGTGGGATCTTAGGGTCAGGTGTTAAGGACACGTTTGATTTTAGAGAAAACTAAAACTTATTTTCCTGAGCATCTGTTTGATTTTGCATTCCCGTTAGCAATGATTGAGACTCTAGAAACCTGGCATGCTCACCGGCATTGGTGTTATCTGTATTTCTTCTTAATTTCAGTCATTTAAAAAAGTGTTTGGTGGTGTCTCATTGTGGACTTGATTTCAATTTCTCTAATGGAAAATCCTGTTGAGAGCCTGGTTATATGCTTCTGTGTCATCTGCACATCGTCTTTGATGAAATGACTGTACAAACCCTTGTCTAATTTATCCATCGGTTGTTTTCTTTTTATTCACAGTTGAGTTCTGAGGGTTCTTATTATAATCACATTGGTGGTTATATGACTTGCAAACAGTTTCTCATCTGTAACCTGGCATTCATTTTCTTATAGTCACTTGAGTAGAAAACGTTTTTAAATTTAATGAAGTCAACTAATATCAATTTCATTTATTGATCATATGTTACATTTCAATTTTAAAATCATTGGTCAACTCTTAATTATTGTATATTGTGCCCATTATGTCATGTCTCATCATGCTCCCACCTTGTGCCCTCCCATCGTTCTAAGTCTCCAATGTCCATAATTTCTCTCTACATGTCCTTGTGTACACACTGTTTACTTCCCTTTTATAAGTAATAACGTGTGACATATGACATTCTGTTTGTTAGGTAGTTCACTAATTATATTGTCCCCTAGTTCTATGCATCTTGCTGCAAAAGACACAGTTTCATTCCTTATTGTGGCTGACAATTATTGAATTGTGCATACATGCTATGTTCTTTTATAAAATCATCCGTTGGCAGTCACTCTGTTTGACACATGTGCTATTGAGAATAGTTTTATGATAAGCATAGAAGTGTGGGTATCTTTTTGAAATGGTTTATTTTCTTTTGGGTAGTTACCCAGCAGTGGGATTGCTGGACCAAATGGCAGGTCTATTTCTAGTTTTCTGGGAAATCTCCATAGCATTCTCCATAGAGGTTGTACTCGTCCACATCCTCATCAACAGTGTCTAAGAGTTGTCTTTATTTTCCATCCTCACCAACATCTGATATTTTTGAGTTTTTAATAATAGTCGTTGCAACTGGTGGAAGATGATATCTTATTGTGGTTTTAATTTGCATTTCCCTGATGGTCAGTGATGTTGAGCATTGCTTATATATTTATTATCCACTTCTATGTGTTCTTTTGAAAATGTCGCCGGGTGCGGTGGCTCATGCCTGTAATCCCAGCACTTTGAGAGGCCGAGGCGGATCACGAGGTCAGGGGATCAAGACCATCCTGGCTAACACAGTGAAACCCTGTCTCTACTAAAAATACAAAAAATTAGCTAGGCGTGGTGGCAGCGCCTGTAGTCCCAGCTACTTGGGAGGCTGAGGTAGGAGAATAGCATGAATCAGGGAGGCGGAGCTTGCAGTGAGCTGAGATCGTGCCACTGCACTCCAGCCTGGGGAACATAAGCACCAGACTGCGTCCTCAAAAAAAAAAAAAAAAAAGAAAAGAAAATGTCTACTGATGCCCTTTGCTGATTTTAGTGAGGTTATTTGGTTCTTGTTACTGTTGTTGTTGTAGATTTGTTTGAGTTCCTTGCGAATTCTTCGTGTTAGTTCCCTGTCACAGGCAAAGTGTGCAAAAGTTTTCTGCCATTCTGCAAACTGACTATTCACTCTGTTGTTTTGAAAAAATATCTTCAGGTTAATTAAGTCTCATCTGTCTATTTTTTTTTTTTTAGATAACAGGAACCTTTCCTGCTGAATCATTGTCAAACAGGATACAGCTTCTGCTTGCATGAACCACTAGCAGGGGACATGCCATTTATTAGTCTTTAAAGAAGAGGGGGGAAGACAAGGGTCTGAGTCAGGTGGGGATAATAAAACCCAGACCCTGGCAGGAAATGGCATCTCAGCCACTCTTTCCTGTTCTGTAGAGGTGGGGAGGGAGCATCGCTGAGAAGCAGCCTGGGTTCTTGTACAGGAGGCACCCTGGGCTGTGTCTCTGTGGTCTCCGTGCACAGTAATATGTGGCTGTGTCCACAGGGTCCATGTTGGTCATTGTTAGAACCACCTGGTTCTTGGAGGTGTCCTTGGAGATGGTGAGCCTGCTCTTCAGAGATGTGCTGTAGTATTTATCATCATCCCAATCAATGTGTGCAAGCCACTCCAGGGCCTTCCCTGGGGGCTGACGGATCCAGCCCACACCCATACCACTAGTGCTAAGTGAGAACCCAGAGAAGGTGCAGGTCAGCGTGACGGTCTGTGTGGGTTTCACCAGCGCAGGACCAGACTCCTTCAAGGTGACCTGGGACAAGACCCCTGTGGAGAAAGCATAAGAAGATGAAGCCCACAAATAAAAGAGCAGATGTTTCACCCCTGAAGTAGCGCTTGACCAAAGCACTCACAGGACGGGACGGTCAGCAGCAGGAGCGTGGAGCAAAGCGTGTCCATGGTGGGGCACAGGATTCACTGAGCCAGTCCCGGTGCTCGGCTTTTCAATCGTGAGGAGGGTGGAGCTGGTGGAGATTTGCATGCCCTCATCTGAGTACTACTCTATGGGGTGCACCCAGGTCTCAGGACTCAGTAGGGGAGTGCATCTGTGGTGAGGCGCAGTGAGCCCTCTGGTGTGGGCGTCCGCATGTGCTCTCCATGGGGGACACCGTCTCATTTCAGGACCATGGTTCTCAGTCAAGGCTGTGACACTTCTGCTTCCACAGACAGGATCTTCTTGGATACTCATGCAGGGGACATGCAACCTTCTGGTTTCAGTCCTAGAGGATTAGAGTAGAAATCAAGAGAGCTAGTGTTCTTCTTCCCTTCAAGAGAAATGACGGTGGGCATCCGGGAGAGCAGGTGGCTCCCCACAAGAATTCCGATCAAAATCCTCTTTGATTAGGGGGAAAGTGATGAATTTTTTTAAAAAAGTTGGAGAGAATAAATTTTTAAAAATTTACAAATAATTATGTAAAGAAGTGTGTGCTTATCAGTGTGTCTGCATACAGCTGCATTCCTACAGGCAAGTTCCAAGAATAATCGATGTTGTCCCTGTTCCCTGTCAGCTCTGTGGAGAGAGTAGGCTGCAGGCGTGACTTCCCTTTTCTCAGCCCGTGAATGAGCAGACGCTTTGGACGAGGGAACTGGAAGCTCTTGAGGGAGCAGCTGGCTGACTGGTGCCGCCTTGGTCTGCACCTGCACTGGATGTGGTCTCTGCGCTCACAAGGCCATGGAGACTCATCAATGCAGGTTCAAGGAGTTAACTGCAGAGTTATATTCACTTGTGGTTTTCTTCGTAACAACAAAGTTATAGTTATAGATGATATAGTGGGTGGTCTCCTTAGGGTTGGATGCTGTCAAGTCAAAGAAGACAACCCTAGATTATAGTCAAAGGTTCTCCGGCTGGTTCCTTGCCGCACCTGCTCCTAAATGGTGATCTGTCTTGACTGAGTTCTGAGCTTCTCCTGCGGGTCCTCTGCTGTCCATGCAGCCCAGATAAAGGAGGGCTGGGGGATCTGCTTCTGAGATGCCCAGTCGTATATCTCGTTCCAGGTCAGGAGCTCAGACAGTCCTGGGGGCTGAACCTTGGATGTCTCCTGTGAGACCTCACCTGTGCACTGAGCTTCCTCAAAGCGAGGTGACAGGGTCAGCTTCATGGACCTTATTGAAGGCGATTTTCCACAAACATTATTGTATTTTGACTATATAACTAAGGAATCATGTTTATCGGGGTGTAAGTGACTGACATACACACACACACGCACACGCACACGCACACGCACACACGAACATACACATAAACAGTATGGAAATTCATTTACATTTCCCAAAAACTGGACACATTTTGTATTATTCCTGAAGAGTTTATACAAACCTGAGGTTTGAATCAGAAACTAAAAGATAACATTTTGTATAGCCAAAGTTACAAATCAATCAGATGAGAAAATGGGGTCAGAAAAATCAAGATTGAGTTATTCCCTGCAGTCTAATGGTGATAAGTGACATAATGGAGCTGTGATGAAATGGGCTTCCAAGTGCTCTAATTGTTAACCTCTCGATTACAGCTGGCCAGCAATCTCTGAGAGTGGGGAAGCTAGAGTTCCCCCACATGGGATAGCTCTCTGACTCCATAAAACTTCACTGGGCTTCTCTGCAGGCTCAGAGGTGTGCAGACTCCTACCCCAGATTCTACAGTCAGGTAAATCTCTCTCTTTCCATAGGGACACAAGAGATAGTGTGGAAGAGGGCCAAATGTACTCTACTCAAGGTCTCTGCACATGGAGAAAAACCAGTGAATGTGGAAAATGCATGATCTTGATCCTTTGAACAATCCCTGTGAAAAACTCAACTCTGTGACAAGATGTCATGCAGAATCGAGAAATAATGCAACTGAAGTAAACGTGAAAATTACAATTGTGTGCAGGTGCATACTTTTTCATATATTTTTCCAATAAAATACAGTAAAAGCAGGTGTTCTCTATAAAAATTCACAAACGGTGTGTTGACCCTGAGAATGGTGACTCACCCTCCCTCCCGCCACATACAGGCAGCAAAATGCCGGTGGATCAGCTTCCCAGCAGCTGCTTTCTGACACCTGTGGCATGGCGTATGCTGAGGCCCATGTCATGTGGTCTACTCTAATGAAAGGACTGACTCCACAGTGATTCCTAAGGAGAGCCCTCTGTTGGAGTCATAGGGATCCCCTGAGAGGTAGCCCTGACTTACACGAGACTCAGTTACCTTTTGCAGCTTCCTTGCATAGCACAAAAATATAGGAACCTTCCACCCAATCCTCCCTCACTGTCTCCTTCACTCAGGGACGGGCTTCCATCATATGCCATCAGCTTCCCAGTCTCATTCCACCCCCTGTGCATTTTCGATCAAGGAGGTGAATGTACTTCTTATAAAAATGCAGGGAAACTTCATTCCATCTTGGAGCTTTCTGCTTAGAACAGGAATAATTGCACAAATGTTAGGAGAAAGGGGTCCCAATTCGGGGAAAATCCACAGAGTAAAACAAGTTTATTACACAAGTAAAATAATGAGACTGGCTACTCCAGAGGCAGAGCAGCAGTGTGGGCTGCCATTGTCAATGTTACGGTTACTTCTTCATTATATGTTAAACAATGGATGGATTATTCATGAGTCCCCCAGGCAATTCCTGAAGCTGAGTGTCCCTCCCCACCCCCCGCTGGCCCACCCCGTCCTTCTTAAACCACACAAGGAAACTTCCTGATGTTGTCTGGACATTTGTAAACTGTCTTGGTGCTGGAGGGAGTGTCTTTTAGCATGTTAATGTATTATAATTAGAGCATAATGAACACTGAGGACAAACTGAGGTCACTTCAGCCACTGTCTTGGTTTTGGAGGGCTTTGGACAGCTTCTTTACTGTAAGATTTATCAGCAAGGTCTTTATGACCTGTATCTTGTGCAGACCTCCTATCTCATCCTGTGACTAACTTACTGCCCTAACTTACTAGGAATCCAGCCCGGCAGGTCTCAGTCTTATTTTCCCTAGCCCCTATTCAAGATGCAGTTGTTCCACTTCCAAAGCCTCTGACACACAAAAAAAGTAGCAAAAGTATTTATGAGCACGATTATATTGCCAAATAAAAAATAAAATATCATAATGACAACTATCAATTTTACCTGTCATCTTGACTAGACCACAGTCTCATCTACTGAATCACACATGAGCTTAGGTGTTGCTCCCATGGCATAACACAGGTGTTAGGAGAGCCTGCCATTATGTTTTCCTCAGTCATGAAGAGTGTTCTAGATAAACTAGGTGGGGCTGATTCAATCACAGCATAACAGAAGACGATGGGGCTCCGTGTTGGACGGCAGATGCAGGTCTTCCCAGGAATTCCAGCCTGGCTTTCCTGAGGGCCAGCAGTATTGACCTGAGGCTGCCTAGCCAGACCCTACAATTACTGTTACCCGGAGCTTACACCCTCAGCTCTCCTCAAAGTCACGGGTGAGAGTCCAAACTCTGTGACAGTGTGAGAAGTACAAGTTCAGCTCTACATCAGGATCCCATTGGAGAAAACTAGTATTATTCCCTTCATGACTAATGTCCACTTCCTTTCCCAAATGCCTCCATGCACAGAAGACAATAGAAGTGTCCAGGCAATAGTGAGTGAGAAAGTCCCCTCAGCCTATCCAGGTTCTGCAGACCCGAGGCCTGGGATTTTGACTACAGAAAACACATAGTCTGTTTTTAAGGCAGCGAAGAAGAAAGGGAACTGTGAGAATCAAGTCTACAGAGAAGGAAAATGGATTACCAGAAAGAGGGTCAACTGAATCAGTCTGAGTCAGATGTGCCCAGTTGTACAAGACGAGGGGGAATAGCTGTGAAAACCATCAGGTTTTAAGGACCCCGACCCTGGGCGAGCCTCTCTCTTGGCTCCCATCAGAACTCAAAGCCTGTTCTAATCAGAGATTCCCATGGAGGTCTCTGCCCTGAGTCTAACTGGAAAAAACTCTCCAGATTTCCCTGGGATTCCTCAGGACTCTCGTCCTGTTGACCACGAAAGGATTGTTTCTGCTCCCAAAGTGACACCCTGGCTTCTGTGGAGATGAGGATGTGTACTCCTGTTACAGAAACAAAGAAACAAAAAGGACAAAAAAAGTTTTGCATTCAGAGACTTGAACTGTTAGTACAGATTGTAAATCTGGAGACGTTCCCTGGGGAAATTTGACAATGAGGCAGCCGCAGACCATGACAGGAAGCCAGGCCTTAGCAGCACCGGCTCCTGCCCTGGAGACAGCCCCGAGCTCAGTGTCCGGGCGCCCCCTGGTGGTCACGGGGACCCCTGCAGGGAGGTTAGGAGTTTGTGTCAGAGCCCCTGGTGAGTCACGGGGACCCCTGCAGGGAGGTTTGTGTCCGGGCGCCCCCTGGTGGTCACGGGGACCCCTGCAGGGAGGTTTGTGTCCGGGCGCCCCCTGGTGGTCACGGGGACCCCTGCAGGGAGGTTTGTGTCTGGGCTCACACTGACCCGCCTCACTGTGTCCTAAGTACAGTAATACAAGCCGTGTCCTCGGTTTTCAGGCTGTTCATTTGCATGAATCGCCGTGTTGCTTTGAATCATCTCTGGAGATGGTGAATCTGCACCTTCCACAGGCCTTGGCGTATTCTGTTGTCACGTAAGCTTTGCTTCTAATGAGAAACCTCACCACTCCGGCCCCTTCCCTGGAGCCTGGCGGACTCAGTACCATGTAGCAAGTAGTCACTGAAGGTGAATCCAGAGGCTGCACAGGAAGTCTCAGGACGGGCGCCCCCTGGTGGTCACGGGGACCCCTGCAGGGAGGTTTGTGTCTGGGCTCACACTGACCCCGCCTCACTGTGTCCCTAGTACAGTAATACACGGCCGTGTCCTCGGTTTTCAGGCTGTTCATTTGCAGATACGCCGTGTTCTTTGAATCATCTCTGGAGATGGTGAATCTGCCTTTCACAGACGCGGCGTATTCTGTTGTCCCACCGTAAGCTTTGCTTCTAATGAAACCTACCCACTCCGGCCCCTTCCCTGGAGCCTGGCGGACTCAGTACATGTAGTAGTCACTGAAGGTGAATCCAGAGGCTGCACAGGAGAGTCTCAGGGACCCGCCAGGCTGGACCAAGCCTCCCCCAGACTCCACCAGCTGCACCTCACACTGGACACCTGCAAACACAGAGACACCACCCTGGTCAGAAACCGCCACTCATATCCACAGTTAGCCTCACTCATGTCTCCTCACACTCAATTTTTCTACTTCTCCATGAATCACCTTTCAAAATAGCAACAAGGAAAACCCAGCTCAGCCCAAACTCCATTGCTGGTGGTCTGTGTTCAGTGCTGGTCACCAAGTGGAAACTCCTGGGAATCCCAGGCGGGGTCTCCTCTTCCAGAGCTACAGAGTCAGGGCTGGGCTGATTTTCATCAGCAGAGGAGGGACGGTATTTGCATGTCTGCCTTATATAGGAAGCTATGGGGTGGGACGCCTGAGGAGAAGGCAGTACCCGGATAATATGACTGTGCCTTGCAGGAATTTGGTGACAATGGTGGTACTTGGAAAATATGCTGTCTTATTATAAAATTATGCTGTGATAAACTCTTTGAACTGATAACCCTGTTTTATTTTTGCACATTTGTGTAAATTATGTTTTGTCGGAGTCAACGGTTTCTCCATGAAGTAAACCACACATGGAAAAAGGGCGAAGTATGTGTCTAAGAGCTCCTGTCTGGGATGAGTAAGCCCAGGTATCTGAGGCTGTGCTCCTCATCAATGGCCCCAATTACTCCCTGAACAAACTCCAGGACACAGCTGCGGGTGCCTCGTGTGGTTGTGGAACCCACTTTCTGTAGTGAGAATATGTGTGATTTTGCTGTATTCTAGCATTCATCTACAATACGGTGAGAACTAGGGTTAAGGCAGCTAAGTTCTTAAGTATTTCTGAAATTTAATATACATTTTTCTGTCTTTCTATCACTCCTTCATTGTCTAAATTTCCATTTGTTTGCTTGTAATAAATTTTGTAAGTTTTAGTGTACAGATAATAAACTTTCACATATTTAAATTGCACAATTGATAAATACGATGTAACCATCATTGTTATCAAGGTGGACAAGAGAATTCTCAGTATTTCCTTTTGTTCTTCTACACTGGCAAATCCTGATCTATACATTGCTGTCAAGTCATTTAGTTTATTAGAATTTATAGAAATGACATAACTCAGTATATATTCTTATTTGCTTGGCTTATTTTACTTAACATATATTATTCGATATTTTACCTTGTAGTTGGATATAGCAGACATTTATTTATTACAAATTTTGGATAACATTCTAGCAAACAAATGTACCACAATCTGTTTTTCTATTAAGCAGCTGAACAATATTTGAATGTTTTATTATTCTGGGTCTTACTAAAAATCTGCTACTAAGCTTGGAAATGCACATAGAAAGGGAATATATTCTTATTTTTTTACAACTGCATCAACAATAACATAAACATAGAAGATGGAACTTTGCAAATTTTCTTTAATGCTTTCAATAATTAATGTTTCAAAACACACAAGTCTGAAGTTCAGAGAGAAGCAAGTTCTTATAGAGAGTAACAAGAAATTTGTCAGCCTAGGTAGTTTGTCAGCCTAGCTTGTCTTTCTTCACTGTCTGCTAAAATAGGCTAGAGACATTAAGATCAATATGCAACAAATTTGAAAATTAGAACAAGTCCCAAGTGAAGTCAAAGTTACTGTGTGGTTAATAATGTGGTAGACAGGAGTCATGGCTGGATACTAAAAGAGTGTTCACATCTATTTTATCTAGATTAGTAAAATATTTTTCATATCCGTTAAGTAATAGTCCCACTGAGAGCCTTGATTTAACATTATTTCTTGATGAATAACACCTTAATAATAGAAGTGGTGGTTATTAACTAATAATTTATATTATTAGTACAAACTTTCATTTAGGATAAATTCCTCTATCTGATGTAAAATCAGCCCAGAAGGCAGAAGTTATTGCACTTATTAGAGATTGTCAATTAACTAAAGACCAGGATTAAATACAGATGTTCAACAGTAGTACAGAACTTTAAACTGTGCTGCAGGCAGAGGAGGTTGTTAAATCTTCTGGAAGCCCCATCAAAATGGACCACAAGAAAAGACATTTTTAAATAAATTCTTACATTCTAGAGACCTCACATATACATTTGAAATGGAATGCAAGCAAAGAGAAAAAAAACTAGTATGGAAACTAGAATAATGTTATGGCGCATCATTTCTACAAATTTTCAGTCTTAACCTGGTGCGTAGTATTATCTCAACATAGACGGCATTGCCATTGTTCATATCATACAGGATCAATCCCACTCACAATATTCTTAATATGTTGAAAAAATGGCATCATTAAATTGAAAAAACATAAAAACTTTAATAAAATATGGAAACTCTCTTGGCCAAGAGTTATCCCACAAACATATGGCATCAGGATCCCTCCCTCAGGACACAACAGTTACTACCCTATAACTCGGGAGCTGGAAGATTCAAACATTTAGAAATTTTACCCTCATTGCTCCCCTTCATCTTATTGCATGCATGTGTTACACAATATTGAAAGTAATTTTTGTATTATACTCACTCCAATCATCAAAAGTTTAAGGTTGCCTTTTTATGTCTTCTAACAGTATTTTGTGATCTTCAACCATGAAATTACATATGTTGGAAAAAAATCAGGAAAAATTCTGCTGTTGAAACAAATCAGAATAAATTTTATCAGGTAGTATTAACCAAAATGCTGCAGAAAAAATTAAGGCAGTCAATTCTTGGGTTGATATTTTGCAACTAAAGAATCAGTTCAGATGGAATGTGGTGGCTCATGTCTATAATTCTACCACTTTGAGCAGCAAAACCAGGGGAATCACATGAGACTAGGAGTCGAGACCAGCCAGACAATATTGAAGACCCCATTTCTATGAAATAATTTTTTTAAACAAATCAGCTGGGTGTTATGGTGCACCCCTCTAGTCTTTGCTACTCAGGAGGCTTGTAAAGAAGGATGGTGTGAGCCAGAAGTTCAAGGTTACAGTGAGCTATGTTTGAGCTACTGCACTCCAACCTGTGTGACACAGTGAGAGCCTATCTCTAATTATAACAATAATAACTAAGAATTTTACACAATTGTAAGGCATCTCAAATAGAAGGTATTAAACTGAATATCCTCAGGAATCCTCTGGCACTTGTGATGTTTTGGAGCAGACAGCTCAGCTAAGACACTCAGAATAAGCGGATGATTTTAGATAGTGAAAAGCCTCCACACAAGACACTGAAACAGGACTCTTGCATAATCCCCTGCCCCGTGCCTTTCACCTCTTTCTCCTCATTTTCCTCCTTCTTTTCATTATGATTTGCTTATTCTTAGAAGCAGTCTTCTTGTTTTGCATAGACTTGGTTTTTGTCCACCCATATTGGACATTGATCTACTTTTATTCGTGTTTTTATAGTAGCTACATAGAATAAGTCATCAGACTATTGTTTTGATGTCTGACTGCTGATAACTAAAGGCTCATTCCTCCATCATCTCCTTTCTTTCTGACATGAGATGAATCTAGTTAGCAATCACAGGAACTCCTCATTTGATGCCATTTGGAGGTTCAAATCCCAGAAACTCATTTCTGTGAGACAGACCCCTCACTCTGCCTCCACCACAAAGCCACTGTAGGAACCCTGAGCCAGTCTCCTTTCTTGCTCTATTGTGCCATTTTGGACATTCCCGAGAGACCAGCACTACTCTCCGCAGACACCTCCAGAAGTAATTAACCTTTCCATATTCTTGTGGGGGAGTGTGCGGCACCCACAGATGTGACATCCACACTACATTTCAGTTGAGATCTCTTGGACTTCTTATGGTGTCAAATAGAACAAATGCTGTAAGCTTGGTGTCACGGCTCCTAACCACAGGACACACCTGTTCCCCCAACCAACTCCAGGACAGAGCTGGACATGCCTGGTGTGGTTTGATTAACACCCATTATGTAATGAAATCATGACAATATTTTGTTGTATTCTAGTGTTTCCCTAAAGATATAGGTCGGCTTAGGGTTTATTCATGTGTATATCCAGGAGTCTTTGATTTCTCATATATATTTAATTAAATCTTTAATTATGTGTTGAGAAATTTAAAATTTCTTCAATTTGATGAGTGAAGTCCTTATGCCAATGTTCTGTGATTTTCTTTTTTATTTCTCATATATTTTATTCATCTCTAACTTATTTTCTACCAAATTATATGTGTTTAAATTTGGAATATTTTAATGAGGTGAAATTAGCAAATAATAGATCTCCCATAAGGTGTACAATTTGACAAATATTGACATAACCATTACCTTTCTCAACACAGGAAAAACTCAACTACCCTCAAAATTTCCTCTTGTTTTCCTGTAATTTCTTGTTCCTACACCTTCCCTTCTCACCCCATTCCCAGAGTCTACTACTGGTTTGCTTCATGTAACTTTAGATTAGTATTAATTTTATAGAATTTATAAAAGAGGAATCGTATGTATGTACTTGTATTCATTTGTCTTATTTGACTCATCATACGTACTTGTGAATTCACCCTTGCTGTTGAGCGTATCCAGCTGTACCTGATTGTAACAGTGGGTGTTTTTCCAGTGAATGAATTTACCACAGTTTGTTTATGATTAAGCTGCTGATTGATATTTGGATTGCTTTCAGTACCTGGGTATATATTTTTTTTAAAGTTGCTGCTATCTTAGAGAAATACACAGCTGAGAAACACAACATTCCTATTCTTACAGCAATACGAACATCAGCTAAACTGGAAAAGCTGCACTATAATAAATTGTCTTCAATACATCGGGTAATTGAAGTTGTAGAATTTTGTGTGTGTGAGAGCTTGTGAGTGAGAGAAAACGAGGGAAGAAGTAAGAAAGAAGAGAAAGAGATCCTACATAATTGACCATAATTTGTGAGGTGCTCAAATAAATACAGGGACTCAGCGTCTTCACAGAAAAGGTCCACATAAGATGGAGAGGACGTCTCGATGCACCTACATATGGTTATATGTTCATATAAATTCCACTTTCTAATAACACAAAGAATCACATACATGAGAATAAATGGGGTGTCCAGTGGTGAAATATGATGGTGATGCCAAACCCCATCTCCAGCACCTTTTTCCCTGATTGTATCTGCCTTGATGTGTCTTGAGCGCCCCCTGGTGTCCTAGCGCCTCCTGCTGTTCCCGAGCTGCCCTGCTGGGAGGTTTGTCTGGGCTCACAATGACATCCCCTCGCTGTGTCTTTTGTGTAAAAATCCATGGTTGTGTACACGTTGCTCAGGGAGCTCAGCTGTAGGAAAAACTG